AGGTGAAGGGCGTGAAGTCGGTACCACCCCGCGCGCCCGCCCCTGGGTATGTGGCACTGGCCTGGGGCCGCGGGGATCCCAGCCCGTTTCGGGGGCGCGCGCGAGTGCAGGGCTCCTCTCCCGCGCCGCAAGCTCCGAGGTCGCCGCAGCCGGGCGCGCCTGGGCCTCGCCGCCCTCGGGGTGCGCACTCCAGGAGAAACTTGAAAACGTTTCGGTTGCCAAGTCCCGAGGTTTAGTCCTTGACGTCAAAGCCCCCACCTCGGTCCCGCTGCCCTTCTTCCCGCCTCGGGGCCTTGTACGGGCAGGCTTTGAACCACTCCCCTTTCTCTGTCCCTCTCATCTTTCTCCTCCCTCTTTTTTTTTTTTTTTTAACCCTTGAAAGCCGGCCAGAGTTTCTCACCGGTGTCCTGTGTCCGGTGTCCGAGGGCGACTGAGACCTCCTCCGCCAGCACTTCTGCGACCCGGGCCTAGTCCCGGTGTGGCCCTTTCAGGCCCCTCCCGCAGCCGCCGGGCCCAGCGCGCGTGTGCTCCGCGTGCCCGGGAGCGCAGGCCTGCAGGCGCCGCCACACGCCAGTCTCCAAAAAGGGGCCCCCGAGAAAAGCTCTGCCTGACCCCGCGGCCCAGTGGACCTAAAGTAGGCGCCTGTGCGCTCCCCGAGGTGCCCACACCGTGGCGGAGCCTGCTGGCAACGGGGAAAGAAAACCTGGGAAGCCTCTATCTCTCAAGCAGAAGTCCTGTGGGGGTGGCGTGGGGGTTGGGAGAGGGGTTGAGCATAGGAGAGTGGCCTCCTACAGTTGCGGGTGGGGGTGAGGTGGAGAAAATTTGGAGGGAGATGGCTGAGGGCTAGAGCTAGAGAGGTTCATAGAAATGGTGGGGGACAGACAGAAAGTGAGAAGGCCAGGCACGGGAAATGAAGAAGGAACTTGGCACGACAGAAGCATTTGGCCATTCTGCTCTAAAACGAAACAAACTTAACAAAAAACAGGTAATGTCAGAGAAAGTGGCAGAGTAGGTAGCTCCAAGGGCCCTCCCCTTCACAGGAACATGGAAGAATAAGTAAAAACCGCCAGAACTGGCTTTGTGGGAACTTTGAAAAACAGTCAAAAGTTTACAGCAACCAAGCAAGCGCTGAGTCAAAAAAAAATGACTTTAATATAAATTGTTGGGGGGGGGGGAGGAGGAAGATGACTTCAATGCAGCATAATGAGGATATCACTAGCCATCTTACAGAAATAAAAAGGATTATAAAATAATACAATGAACAATTACAATCCAAAAAATTAGATAACTTAGATGAGATGGACATATTTCTAGAAACACAAAAAACTATAAAAACTGACAAGGAAAAATGGAAAATCTTAACAGACTTGTAACAAAGAAATTGAATCAGTAGTCAAAAACCTCCCCAAGGAAAATCCCAGGACCACTAGTGAATTATATCAAATGCTTAAAGAACAATTAATACCACCCCTTCTCAAACTCCTCCAAAAAATAGAAAAGTAGGGGATACTTCCTAACCCATTTTGTGAGGCCAGCATTACCTTGATAACAAAATCAAAGACTTTACAAGAAAAAGAAACTACAGATCAATATTCCTCGTAAATATAGTTACAAAAGTCCTCAACAAAATACTAGCAACCCAAATCCAGCAGCATATGAAAAGTATTACACACCATGTCTAAGTGAGATTTATCTCAGGAATACAAGCAGTTCAACAGAGGAAAATCAATCAGTGTAATAATACACCATATTAATAGAATGAAGAAGAAACATATGATCCTCTTAATTGATGCAGAAAAGAAATTTGACAAAATCTGGCACTCTTTCACTATAAAAACATTCAAGAAAATGTAAGTAGAAGGAACTTCCTCAGCCTAATTAAGGGGATTAAAAATTACAGCCAACATTATGCTCAATGGTAAAAGACTGAAAGATTTCCCTTAGGATCAGGAATAGGGCAAGGATGCCTGCGTTTGCTGCTTCTATTCAAAATTGTACAAGCAACATTGTACTGGAAGTTCTAGCGAGAGCAATTAGGCAAGAGAAAACAAATAAGACACATCCAAGCAGGAAAATAAAAGTAATACTATTCCTCTTCACAGATGACATGATCTTATACATAGAAAATCCTAAAGAATACATAACACACACACACACACAGAGGCTACAAAAAAACAGCAACTTCATTTCAGAATAGAAGATCAACACATAAAAATCAGTTGTATTTCTATACACTTGCAATGAACAATCCAAAAAGAATATTACAAAAACAATTTCATTTACAATAGCATCAAAGAGAATATATTACTGGGAGTAAATTTAATGAATTAGGTATAATATTTGTGAAAACTGAAAACTATAAAGCATTCCTAGAATTAGAGAAGACGTAAGTGAATGGGAAGACAACCTATGCTCATAGATTGAAAGACTTAATAATGTTAAGATGGTAATAGTGTCCAAAGTTATATACATTTCAATATAATCCTTATCAAAATCCCAATGGACTTAAAAAAATAGACTGTAAAAGCTGATCCTAAAATTTATATGGAGTTGCAAGAGAGTCCAAATACAATCTTGAAACAGATCAAAACAATCTTGAAAAAAAAAGTTGAGGACTCATACTTCTCAATTTCAAAACATAGTACAAAGATAGAGTAATGAAAACAGTGTGAAACTGACATAAGGATAGACATATATCCCAATGGAATAGAATTGAGAGTCCAGAAATAAGTTAATACATCTATCGTCAATTGATTTTTGACAAGGGTCTCAAGACCATTCAATTAGCAAAGAATACTCTCTTTAACAAATAGTGCTTCAACAACTATCCATATGCAAAAGAATGAAGTTACACATCACTCTTTTATACCATATTCACAAAATATCTCAAAATAGACCGGTGATTTAAGTGCAAGAGCTAAAAGTGTAAAAGTCATAGAAGAAAACAGAGGTGAAAATTATTATGGCATTGGATTTGGCAATGGATTCTTAGATGAAAGAAAAACTAGATAAATTGGACTTTAAAATCTTTTGTGCATCAAAAAACACTATCAAGGTAAAAGACAACACACAGAATGAGAAAAAATATTTTGTAAATCATATAGCTAATAAGGGCCTAGCATCCAGAGTATACAAATAACTCCTACAACTTAACAAAAAGAAAAAAACCTAGTTTTAAACTGGGCAAAGGACTTGAATAGACAGTTCTCCTAAAAAGATATACAAATGGCCAGTAGACATGTGAAAAGATACTTAATATCAGTAGAAAGAATTGAATCAAAACCACAGTGAGAGGCTCGGGCGCTGTGGCTCACGCCTGTAACTCTAGCTTTGGAGCCGAGCGGGCGGATGCTCAAGGTCAGGAGTTCAAAAACCAGCCTGACAAAGAGCAGACCTGTCTCTACTATAAATAGAAGAAATTAATTGGCCAACTGATAGTATATATATTAAAAATTACCGGCATGGGCGCATGCCTGTAGTCCCCAGCTACCCAGGAGGCTGAGGCAGAAGGCATCATGGAGCCCAGGATTTTGAGGTTGCTGTGAGCTAGGCTGACGCCACGGCACTCCCTCTAGCCTGGCAACAAAGCGAGACTCTGTCTCAAAAAAAAAAAAAAAAAAAACCCACAGTGAGATACCATTTTATACCCACTAGGATGGCTTTAAACAGCAACAACAAAATAAACGTGAGGATGTAGAGGTATTGGAACCTTTGTACATTGCTCTTGGGAATGTTCAATGGTGTGGCTGCTGTGGAAAATAGTTTGGTAGTTCCTCAAAAAGTTAAACATAGAATTATAATATTTTATAACCCAACAATTCTACTCATAACTCTACATAAAAAATTAAAAACAGATAATTAAAAACAGGTATTCAAAGAAATATTTGCCCATCAATGTTCATAACAGCACTATTCACAGTAGCCAAAGGTGTAAAAAATTCAATGTTCATCACCAAATGAATAACTGGTAGTACATTCATACAATGGAATATGATTCAGCAGTAAAAAGGGATGATTATAAATATGTACAACACAGATAAGCGAATAAGGTCTAATTGTATTATTCCATTATAAAGAAATATCCAGAATAAATAGAACCATAGAGACAAAAGGGGATTTGTAGCTGCCAGGGGGTAGGGGCAAGTAGGATATGATAGGTATGCTTAATGGGGCTTCCTTTGGAGTTGAAAATATTTTGGACTAGTTAAGAGCTATGGTCGAGCAACATTGTGAATGTACTTACTAAATGCCACTGCATTGTACATTTAAAAATTGGTAATTTTATGTTATGTGGATTGTATCTCCATAAAAAATAAATAATAGAGGCATGATGCTCCAGCCTATGATGAAGCATCTCCCCACCCCAGCTGAAGTTTCAGCCACAGTCCCTGCAGTGATCCTATTCTGGCAGAGAAGCACAATTACCTTTGGTTTGGGCGGTGGTCAGTGGCAATCTCACAACCCTCTGGAGCCCTCAGCCTGGGTGTCCCAGAGTGCAGAGGGGAAGATGGGGAGCCAGCCTATGCAAGGCCCGCAGCAGGCTGCAGAGCCAAACCCTGAGGCCGTGGGCCATGTTTGGCTTGTTTCTGCCATCTACCAGCTGTAGCACCATTGGCAAAATGCCCCCAAACTCTCCCAGTTAGAGACCTGAGCCAGGTAATAAAGATATGCCAGGTTTGTGAGAGAGGCCTTCAATCTGAGGTCTCCCTGGAGTTTTTATTCATCGTTTTAACCACATTTCATCAATTTTAGGACCTGGCTTTTGATATTTTATCATCTCTGAGATCGGGAGGTGTTTTACAATCCCAATGGTGTGTCACTCCAACTGTGGTATTTTTCTAAGAGATACATGAAACCACGGTGAGTCTTGGAAACAATGCCGTCTTCCAGTTAATGAAATTGGTGTTAAATACATGTTTTGTGTGATCATTAGTTGATATCCTCTCTCCAGTTACCACACACACACACACACACACACACACACACACACACACACTATACCCCTAGCACAGTGCCATAATGGGTGCTCAAAAAATGTTGACTGAATAAATGTGAGAATGAGTGAAAACTTTTGCATTCCAGCCTTGGCTCTGCCATTTGCCAGCAGCTTGACTCCAGGAAAGCCAAGTAACTCCTCTGAGCTTTCCCAGTTCACAAAATGGCTGTAATAAGGCCAACAGCTCCAGGCGCGGGAGGCTCCCAAGAGGAAGTGTCCACATACATGTGTGCTTAGGCTGCGAGCACTCACTCCCCAAAACTTCAACCCAAAGAAAAGGTAGAAACAATGTTTTTTTTTTTTTTTTCATCTTTTATAACAATGTACAAATGGGGATTTAGGGGAGGGGGAATGCTGATCAATCTAAAAAAGCAGTTCAAATTTTCTAAAAAACAATTTCTACTTTGTAATGTAAGTTGCAACTAAGAAGGCAGGGAAGGATCAGGTGGGAGCAGTTCTTTGAGGTGGAAGAGTCACCATCTTCACGGTCTCAAAGATTCTTTAGGTCGGGGCTGTCTGCAGAGAGCAGAAAGAAAATGGACATTAGAAATCAGAAACCAAAGATTTATGGCCCATCCCACCTTCCTGCTTTGCGGTTCCCGCTGCGTATTCAAGCACTTATGGATAACATGCTTGCAATGGCTTCGCCCGCCTACGTACACCTCTCAATATCCACCAACACTCGCTATAGAGTCTGTTCGTCGGCTCCAGAACCTGCCAACCGCCACCGCATTCCCCAGCCTGGCTGATCCAGCGGCGCGTCGGCGGCCTACCCGGCTGCTCCCAGCCCACGCCGGCGAGCGCAGGGAGCGCGCGACCGCGCTACCCGTGGCGTTGCAAGAGGAAAACAAGTATTACGTAACGAATGCCAGTGCTTCTCTGACACAATGCAGGTTCGAGGGCATGAAGATATGTCCTCGCCCTTCCCGTGTCCCTAGGCACTTCTTGCACCTGGTGCAGAGTGAGCCAGAGAGTTTCCGGTAAACAAAGGGCGTGTCAGGCTTTGGCGCGTCTCCACCTTGTGGGAAAATTTGTTTCCAGTCCCATCGCCTCCCTCCCAACTCCTCCTCCTCCTTCAAACCCGCTAATGGCTTCCTATCATTTCTAGAACAAAATGGATGCTCCTTTCTTAGACCTATAAGACTCCTAAGTGATCCGGCTTTTGCTCTTTTCCTTTTTTTTTTTTTTTTTTTTTTTTGAGACAGAGTCTCACTCTGTTGCCTGGGGTAGAGTGCCGTGGGGTCAGCCTACTTCACAGCAACCTCAAACTCCTGGGCTCAGACGATCCTCCTGCCTCAGACTCCCGAGTAGCTGGGACTACAGGCATGCGCCACCATGCCCGGCTAATTTTTTTCTATATATTTTTAGTTGGCCAATTAATTTCTTTCTATTTTTAGTAGAGACGGGGTCTCACTCTTGCTCAGGCTGCTTTCGAACTCCTGACCTGGAGCAATTCCCCCGCCTCGGCCTCCTAGAGTGCTAGGATTACAGGCGTGAGCCACCCCGCCCCAGCCCTGCTCTCCTCCTTAATCTCGTGGCATGCAGGCTCCTGTTCGCGGTTTGGTCCTCCCAACCTTGCGCGTTCATTCCTGACTCAGTCTTTACACTTGAGTCTTCCTCTCCTAGCTTTCTTCTCTTCAGTCAGGTTCTTTGACCACTCTTTAGCCTCTCCTCCTATTGACACTTCACTCTTACCCATCGCATTGCTTTTACAAACTCATTCTCTGCAAATACATTGTTAATCTTGCTCAATGCATTTCCTAGGATGTAAACTCTATGACGGCAGGATCCTGTTTTGTCTCATCTTTGTGTTCTCAGCACCTAAAACGGACTGATCACTGTAATCGCATCTGAAAGTTAATTTTGCTTGGAGAGGAGGTGTGGGGGAAAGGAGGAAAGAAGAAGGGAAGGAAAGAAGGAAGGAAGGAAGGAAGGAAGGAAGGAAGGAAGGAAGGAAGGAAGGAAGGAAGGAAGGAAGGAAGAAGAGGAAGGAGGAAGGAAGGAAGAAGGAAAGAAGGAAGACGTGTGTGCTTGGGTTAAACATCTTCAGTTTGGTTTTAAGGGTCGCTCATTTTACTCATTTGCCAGTGACCGACTTCAACCGTTTACTCCCTCTTCTACCTTAGCGCCTTCAGTTTCTTGTTCCGCTCCGCAACAGCGCTGTGACTGGCCTCTCATCCTACGCTACTTCCGGATGCAAGCTGTAATTGGAGGAGGACGGAGGGTGGGCCGACTAAAGGAGTTCTTCTTCGCGCCTCTCACTTTGAAGGTGCCATGGGCTTTGCGGAGTTTCACGGCACCTCCCCGCAGAGGGCCTAGAGGTAGACTCCACACCCTGTCCTCTTTGGCTCCCCTAAGGCCCAGGGACCCCAATGCCCCAGTTCTGAGCCAAAATAGAATAGATTTCAGTATCCTCAAAGTCATATTTTACCTTAAATATTCGTGTTAATTTTATGTATTGCTTCGTATAGCTATTTTGTTAAAACAAACGTTCTCTATCCAGAAAAATCATCAGAGTAAAGTTGGCACTTAAGACAGACAGACGTGGGAGTAGGGGAAAAGAACGGCTGGACGTGGTGGCTCACGCCTGAAATCCCAGCACTTTGGGAGGCTGAGGCAGGAGGAATGCTTGAGCTCAGGAATTCATGACCAGCCTGAGCAACACACCGTGTTTCCCTGAAAATAAGACCTACCCATAAAATAAGCCCTAGCAGGATTTCTAAGCATTTGCGCAATATAAGCCCTACCCCAAACATAAGACCTAGTGATGGGTGTGGCTACGGAAGCATATCTGCACAACCCATGCATTTTGTGGCCAAGAGGCAAAGAAGACGAGCAGCCCTTCTCATCTGCCCCATCCTGACAGCTACTATCCCAGAGGTGAACGGAAAGGTGTGGGCAGCCCCACCAACAAGGTCGGCTCCCCCTGTCAGGTCCTGGTCATCCTGGGCATGCTGCAAGCTGAGGCTTTGAGGGGGAAATAACACATCCCCTGAAAATAAGCCCTAGGTTGTCTTCTTGAGGAAAAATAAATATAAGACCCTGTCTTATTTTTGGGGAAACCCAGTAGGAAGACTCCATCTCTACAAAAAATAGAAAAAATAGCCGTCTGTGATGGCCTGCTCCTATAGCCCCAGCTACTCTGGGACGCTGGGGAGGGAGGATCTCTAGAGCCCAGGAATTTGGTGACAGTGGGCTATGATGGTGCCAAGGCACCCCTGCACTCTAACCTGGGCAACAGAGCAAGACTCTGTCCAAAAAAAAAAAAAAATTGGCTTTGAGGTGTTTGAAGGGAAATGTTGGGAGGATCACCGTCCCATATTCCTTGTTCAGCGATCGCTTGCAGAGACGGAAAGTTATGGAAAGTTTAAATGAAGTAGAGGTAGAGGAGAGAGTCTCTGTTTCCCTTAGAGTGCTGCAAATTAAGGTGTGCAAACTGTGAGGACTGGCGAGGTCTCCATCCAGATGCTCTCAGAAGCTCTGGAAGACTCCACCACATAGAGCGGAGGATCACATTAGTAGGGTTGTGCAGAACAGCAGAGAATGACAGATCTCTGGATGATGCGACTGCACAACTGTGTTTGGAAGTCGCGGGGTTGGTCCAGCCACCTATGCATGCGAATGGGGAAACTGGGACTGATGAGTGGATGTGGCTGGCCAGCTAGTTTGGAGGAAGAAGGGGCATTAGACCTCTATCTAGCCTCTCGAGTCTTCAATGCCCCGCAGTCTACGCCCAGAGCTGCGGGGAGGATGGGTGTTTGGGTTGTTGTGGGTTGGGTAGGCCTTATAGGATGAGCTTTCACGTGTGCAAGTCCATTTCTGGCTCCTTTCCATCTGTAGCCCTGGCTAGGCGGCTCGATCAGGGGACTCCGGCTGTCCCGCAGGTTGGCAAGTGAGCTGAAGCAGACCTGAGACCCAGCTCTCCCGACTCAACTTTTTTTTTATTTCTGGAAAAGAAGTGGCCTGAGCTTCTGACGCTCTCAAGGTTCAAATTCTTAGATCGTCAGTCCTCACCTGGGGGGCCTTCCGCAGCTTGGTTGCCGCCTTCTGTGTCCCCCAGGGCCGCGCGCAGGTACCGTGCGACGTCGCGGTGGCCTCGCTCCTCAGCCAGGTCCACGGGCAGGCGGCCCCAGGCGTCGCGCACATCCAGCCGCGCTCCGGCCCGGTGCAGCGCCACCAGCGTGTCCAGGAAGCCCTCGCGGGCGGCGTCGTGCACAGGTCGGGTGAGGGTGGCGGGGTCCGCGCAATTGGGCTCCGCGCCGTGGAGCAGCAGCAGCTGGGCCACACGGGCGTTGCCCATCATCATGACCTGCGGGCGAAGGCACAGTGGTCAGGGCGAGGGTGCTGGCAGAACTGTTTGCCAGAAATCTTATCTGTGAAGTTGCCCCACCCCAAGCAGATGCCTGTGCAAGCCACAGGTGTCTAATTACCCTTCATTTGTTTCCAGTTACCAACTCCCTCCTTATCCATCCCATTTTCCAGTACACATTGAATTCCATCATACAGTCAAACTTTTGCGAAGCTTTAGCCACAGGAGGAACGCTGCCAGAGTCACAGGCAACAGCAAAAATGGGAGCAACAAACTAGCTTGTACTACAGCCTAACTCGCTGTATTTCCTTCCTTATTTTGAGATGAAATTATGTTGGCCTGGAGATTTTGTTCAGTTCACTGCTGTATATCCAAGCCCAGAACATGGTAATTGTTAAAAAGAGAAAAAGAAAACACCCTCACTATTCAAGCTAATTTACTTATCACTTCAAATATTTGACTTTTTGTCAAATGATTGTGTGACATTTACTGTTAGGGATACTGAAATGTTTAGTACTCAGTTATTAGCTATATTCACCACACTGTGCAATAGATCTTTTAAAAAATTCACTTATTCCTTCTATCTAACTGAGGTGTTGTATCCTTTGATTATTATCTCCCCATTCCCCCGTCCCTTAGCCTCTGGTAACCATCTGGTAACTCTTTGCTTTTATGAATAAAGTTGTTTTAGATCCCACATATGAGAACAGGAAATATTAGTCTTTTTGTGTTTGGTTTATTTCACTTAGCATAATGTTTTCCAATTCAAAAACTTTAATTTCTTTGTGTATAAAATGGGAAGGCATATCTAATTAGCCCTAAAATTCCTTCCTGTGGTAGGTAATGCCCCCTAAAGATGTCAACCTCCTAATCCACAAAAGTTGTGAATATAATGGCAAAAGATACATTACAGGATATGATTAAATTTAAAGTCTGGAGGGAGATTATCCTGGATTTTCAACATTGCCCCAACATAATCAAAATATTCTCATAAAAGGGTCATAGAGAGAAGAATGAAGACTGGAAGCAGAGATCAGACAGAAGATACAGGGGCCATGAGCCAAGGAATTTGATAGTCAGTAGAAGCTGAAAAAGGCAAAGAAATAGCTTCTCCCTTCGAGTTTCCAAAAGGAAAAGAGCCCTGTGGACCCATTTTAGACTTTTGACCTTCAGAACTCTAAAATAATAATTTTGTGTTTGTGTTAGCCATTAAATTTGCAATAATTTTTTATAACAACTATAGGAAACTAAAACACTTCCCAAGCTTATGATTTGAGAGTTCATTAAATGAGAGACGGTCACCTCTTTGGTTCCTAAATTACCTTTGAAACAAAGCCCTTCCCAAAGAGGAATTTTTTAAATGGTGCTTATATTCACAGCAATTTTACAATGTGAGTGCTGCATAGAGAGTGGTGGTGGTAGTTGACAATTCCTTTTAGGATAAGGTTATTTCCTATATTCTTTTAGAATTTGGTTGTATTAGCTCAGGGATATTGACATTATAAAGAGGAATTACTTATTTTTAGTTATATTCTGTATCAAACACAAATTAATTTGTCTAAATCAAGGAACCATAATAAATTATATTATGGTTGAATCCTGCCCTGAGAAAGTGAAACTAACTTAGTTTTCAAAAATACAAGGAGAAAATATAAGAGAACCAAATTATACCTACAAAAAGAAAAAAATTGCAGTGTTCTATTCTGTGTATCTAAGGAAGTCCTTCATCTTGGTCATAAAACTAGTTTTAAATGTTTTTCTTATATACCATGGCATGAAGAAGCTGACAAGTAACCCACATATAAATATTTAAATCATGATAGCAATCCAAAGCAAAAAGAAAATGAATCAATTAAATGAAAATGTTTAGGGTGCTTAAAACCATTTGATAAGAAATTACTTTGAATTTAGTACTTTAACTTTTTTCTTTTCTATAAACTAAAGTTTTTACATTTAACACCAATTTGGTTAGGGTTCTAAACCAAAAGCATACTCCCTTTAATTCATATTCTTCTCCCCTCATTAAAAAAATTATCAAAACTAATTATCCACTTTTTCCTTTTTGCACTTAAACAAATGAGTCTCTTCTAACATATTTTAGGACTCCTGGTCTCCAAGCTGCTGACAAAACTTTAGAAATGCCAAAGTATGAATCAGGAATGCATTACTTTTAAAGGACCCACAGTTATCTTGTGTAACCACCCAACCTCTCCAGTCTCAAAATTTCTTCACACTTCAGATCTCAAATAATCTCAAACTTTAAGCATTTTGACCTTTTAATATATGTATTTTAAAGTTTAAAAATTAAACTTGTGTAATATAGTTTCAGGAAGAAAGTCATTCTGAAGTTTGTGAAGTTTCAAGTAACTTTCCTTTGTCTTTTTATGCAATATGTATTTTGTTTTACATAAATTTTCTTTTTCAAAATTAGAATCACTGTCGCCACTGAGAATAAAACCAGGATGGTGACTGCCAGGAAAAATTGTTTTTTAGTCTAAAATTTAGGAAGTTAGCGAAGACAAACAAGTAAAAAACCCACCGACACTCCTTTCCCCGCCCCTCACAAAACCGAAGTCCGAAGGAGAAATACACTTGCCAGCAATGAGGAATTGAAAACTCTATCCTAAGTAAGTTAAACTGTATCAAGTAAGTTAACAACACCAAAAATAATATTAGGTGTGCCCCAAATAGTAACTAAATTCACAACTTTATCTCAGGAGAGATCACACTAATGGTTTTCTTCATAAATGTTCATCTTTATTTCCTCAGTTCTTATAATAAGCATATATTTCCCCTACTCAGTTAAAATAAAAATAAACACAGTACGTAGTTGCTTCTGAATAATTTCCATTGATATTTATTCCAGCGTATCAGGCAGTAGATTTCCACTGAAATCCCTCCTACCAGGGAAGATGATAAGCTCCATTCGGGGGTCTGTGAGTTAGGGGCTAAGTAATCCCAACCAATCCTACATTTCTTTAAAACTCGCCTTTTATCCCGAACGTTCGTAAGTTTTATATCTGACAAAGAGCATACCTCGAGCTAATGCAAACATGCTCCCCCCTCCGGATCTCCAAAGCATTCTGGAGATCTGCAGCAGCGCGTGTCCTCACTTCTGTGGCGCCCCGAGCCCCCGGGGCGTCGCCAGGAGGAGGTCTCCGATCACAAACCCCTTCTGAGAACTCCCCGGGAAGGCAGTCTCCTCCTTTCCCAGAATCGAAGCGGGACCTGGTTCCGACGCAGCTGCAGACTTTGTGCTCTAGAGTTGCCCGCCCGCCCCTGCTCGCGCGGCCGACCCTCTGTCTACCTGAATCGGGGTCCGGCCGTAACGGTTCGGCGCGTTGGGAGGCGCCCCCGCCTCCAGCAGCGCCCGCACCTCCTCGCACCGACCCCGGGCGGCGGCCGCGGCCAGCCAGTCTGCGGTGGGCTCCATGCCGCGCCCCGCCGCCCGCCGCGCGCGCTCCCTCGCCGGCCGCGGCCGAGCGCCTGCAGCCCGCCCCGCGCTCCCGTGACCAGCCCGCCCCTCCTCGGTCTTCCTCCCGGGCTGGCGGAAGAGGCCCCCAGACTCTGCCCCTCGACTCCTCCCAAGGGATCCAGGCGTCTTTCTGTGCGTGGCAGGAGGCGCTGTTCACGTGTTCTCCGAGAAAGTGCCAGTTCTCTCCGAACACGCGGCGACTGTGACCCTGAAGTCGGCCCACTGGGGGCTCTCCTGGGGGCGCCGGCCGGAAGCGGTCCTCGCCCAGAGCCGACCCGGCGGTGGGAGGAGGGCGCCCCGGGCTCCTCCCCACCTGCCCCCAACTCTGCGCCCTGGCTGCCCTCCTCACTGCTGCGCGCCCCCCCCCAACACCCCGTCCCCCGACCCCCGCAAAGGCGCACGTGAGTCTCCGAGAGCTTTCATTGTGTTAAAATGAAATCTCCCCTGACGTTTCCTTCCTCCCTGGTACAACCTCCTGGCGTGACAAAGCTGCGCGAGGTTCCTAACTGCCAAATTTGAACCAGGGTGTTCGATGTCATAGGCAAAAAGTATTGCTTCCTTTTTAATCTTAAGGAATTTCAAAGCTGTTCTCTCCTGGCGGTAAGAGCCTCACCGAGGATCTTTATCGCCCGTATGGGTAGGAAGCGTTCCTTCTTTCCGATGACACACTCTCACCCTCCCCCGCTCAACCCTGGCTTTCCCGCGCGATTTACCAGGCCAGAATCCTAGCTCAAAGGATTCATTTTGCAGAGTTAGTATGCGCGCCAGTCTGTTCCTCCCTAGCCTCTGCTCCTCACTACCCTCCCACGTTTAAAACGGATGTCTGGACCGAGGGTGTCTCGGGCATGTGCACTACCTGGTATAAGGGCTGGCTAGGAAAAGATGAAGTCTATTTAATATGCATGGGGAAGAATTCTGCCTGTAAGCAGCCAAGAAAGTGGGGAGGAAATCATTGGAAGAACAGACTCTGTTCTTAACGAGTCATTATTCTTAGACCAGAAGAAGTGCTCAGTATTCTAGAGGCAGAGTTGTACAGTGATTTAGAGACCAGGCTCACACACTGTCCTGGGTCTCTTTGCAACCCCCCAAACTTCTCCTTCCTAGTGAAAATATCTTGCGTTTTTCTTAGTTACAAAGGCCGGCGGTGGGCAAGGGTGGTCCCTGCCTTACAGGATGGTTGTGAATTTAAATGAATTGATGTATATATAAGCATTAAGAACAGTGCCATACACCCTAAACTGATACCTGTTAGCTATTAAATTATCCATTTTGAGAATTCTCTTGTAGTCTTTTTGTGAGGCACAGAAAGAAAATCCTTTGGATAGCATTATCACTATTACATAAAAAGAAAGACCAAGAAGGCCTTAACCACAGAAGGGATGATGGGCACCCTCTACCACCCTTACGTATAATGAAACATTAAACAAAACTAAAGGGTATATAACAAGAAAGGAAATGCAACATAGTTATACTATTTCCTGTGGCTATTACTTTTTATGCTTTTAAATACACACACACACACACACACACACATATATATATATATTACATTTTTAAATATTGGGTCGCTCAGACTTTGCTGATGCCTTAGGTGCATGTTTAATCTGCCTACTGGATAATCCAGCACTGTTTAGAAGTTATGTTTCAATCTCTGGTTGACTTATGTTGCGGACCCAGAATACCTTATTGTACTTTCAGTTGCAGTTCCATCATCAAAACATGCAATTTTAAAGTGATGCCAATGAAAACACCTTGGGGATGTTACATCTATTATATAAATCCACAAGACATCACTGTGCTATCTGTATTTTCCTTCAGGCACCTCTCAATTATCTGGGTAGCAATGGTGTGGAAATTTCAAACTGTGGATGAAGAACATAAAATTCTTTTAATTTAGCTTAAGGTATTTTATGATGGGAAAGGAGGAAATAGTGGTTGTGATGATGAGAGGGAGGGCACAGACTTCTTTTATAACATGTCTGGCTTTTAGACCAATATCAATGTTAGTTTCCATTACTAAAATAATGATTTTTAATCTTGGGGATGGGGGTGGGGAGGTGGGAAGAGTAGGCTCATTCAGGAATCTGTTGAAAGCTATAGACCCTCTCCTCAAGAAAAAAAATATGTAATGATTTTTTTATAAAAGGTGTGTTCACCATGCACACACATTTCTGAATAAAACTTTCAGGGAATTCAAGGATTGCTTTGAAATTCAATTATGGATTCCTATATCAAGAACTGTAGCTCACACTTGTAGTCCTAGCACTTTGGGAGGCCAAGACAGGAGTGAACGCTTGAACCCAGGAGTTTGAAATTTGAGGTTGCTATGAGCTACGATCACTGCACCCTAGCTGGGGCGATAAAGTGAGACCCTGTCTCAAGAAAAATCAATCAATCAATCAATAAAGCAAAACCAAAAACTCTGTGCTTTTCTGCAATATTTTGGACTATTGGGAGTTAGAATTCTACAAAAACAATCTTTGGATGCATTATATATGGACATGGAAGTTGACTGCTTTGTAAATATCAAGAACAGAGAACAGGTTTTAGACATGCATATACTAGCTCAAGCATTTACAGTAGAGTTCCAGAAGGATTATGGCATCCTTGGGTGGGGTTCCTTTGTGCTAGGAATTGGCTCCATTATCAATTATAAATCTTGTGTAAATAAATAGTTGATAACAGTGTGAAAATATTCTCAATTCTTCTTTTAAATAACCTACCACACTTCCACTTTACTTACTCATATCAGCTCAGATCTGAGGGGCAAAACCCCAGAAGAATTAAAATATAAAGCCCAGGATCCTGGGGCTCATTATGCCAACCTCAGATTTCCCATGTGTAAAATGGGATCATAATATATTTCATGGGTTTATAAAAATAAGATAATGTATGTCAAAAAGTATTTTAAATTCTAAAGTTTGTTGGTTGCTGTTATTACCACCCCCATACTTACTTTTCCTCTTCCCTGAGAATGCCATGATCTTTCTTAGGTCTGTGCTGTCTTGGCAGTTTTGAAAATCTATACAATTAAATTTAAATGTCTCAATTCTGATCAGTCTTTTAAAAAATATGGTGCCACTTATTCATTCATTCAACAAGCTCAGAGGCTAAGGGTAGGCATGGGATGAGGGTAGGTTAAAGGTAAGAGCTCTAGAGCCAGACTGCCTGCGTTTAGACCTGGGCTTTTCCACTCACTGCTCTCTGACTTTGAACAAAGTTACTTAAAGTTTCTGGGCATTTGTTTTCTCATTTGGATGATTGGGTTAACAATAGTACTCACTTCAAACAGTTGTGTGGGGGATTAAATCATGAGGCATTACATGTAATACTTTTAGAAGAGCAAAAGGAAGCAGAAGATGACACAAGAAAATGAAAAGGGAACCAAAGCAATTCCAGTAGCTTAGCCAAAGGCTTCCTGGATGCCGAGAGCTGATCCCAGGCTTGAAGAAAGGTATAAGTGTATAAAGATGGAAAAGAAGAAAGATATTCTAGGAAGAGGTGAGAACACATGCAGACGCATAGAAGTTTATGAAAGCTGAAAGTAATTCACTGGAACATATGGAGAGAACATGCAAAAATGAATTTCTGAAAGAAGCAGCTGAAAAAGAGCCTGTGAAGGACTGCTTAGAGAGCCAGATGGAAAACCAGGAGTGAGTGCGATAGCAAGGAAGTGGGGGCACTGTGTGAACTACCCTTTCACAGCTTGGCTGTGATAGTTCAAGGACAAGTATGGAGAAGCAAGGCAGATGGAAGATGGAAGAGACCTGAGCACATATATACCTTGAAGGGAAAGTGCCAGGTGAAAAGAAGGGACAATTAGAAGAGAATCAATCAATCAATAAAAGTCAAGCACACAGCAAGATAGGGTATTTTCAAGAACCCAAAGTTCCTAAAAGGTCAGGAAGAAATGGAACCCAAGGCACAAGGAGTAGTCATATATTTGGACACAGGAGATACAGGTAGATTTGAGGAGGAAGAAAAGGTCAGAGCAGGGAGGAAGTTTAGGCACTTCCTTCCATGATTGCAGAGGCCAGTTTGCTCGCAGAGTGAGGTTGAGGTGGTGGGTTAGGAAGTTTAAGAATGGTAAAAGTTCAGAATGGTAAAGGTTTCCTCTTGTAAAGAAAGATGATGGACCTGAGTAGGACTCAGAGAAGCCTTTTTTATCAGACTGCAGGGCCCAGCTGAGAGTGGAGATCATGATACTACAGGGACACCTGACTACTTTCTTTAAACTAAGGAGAACCTTGCAACAGTGCTATTATTTCAGAAACCCTACAAATCAAGTAATAATAACACTGATGTAGATATTAACTCAACACATCACCAGACAGAGACAAATATATTAATATTTGAGAAGGTAGTATTCTGAAATTAGGTATTGCAGGATTGGCAAGGTATGATATGCATGCTATGCAAGTATTTCATGTGATAAGCAATATGATTTTGCTAGGAAAATAAAAGGAGTTGGAGCAATAGCTGTAGACTGGGACTAAGTGACCAAGTGACCTGATTTATCTAATGAACTGGTTTTTTTCTACTGTAAAATCCTTTGAGACTATTTTTAGCTTCAATGTCCACAATTTAAAAAATGATCTATATCTTGTTCTATTCTTTATGCTTGATAAGATTATTACATCAAGAGAGATAGTACACACATAGTAAAACAAAAGCTGTTTTAAAAGCATATACATATATTTATCATTTTCAATATTAACATTGTTATTAAAAATGATTGTTTAAAACATATTTTGAGGTTAAAAATAAAATATACATAGACTACCTCTGGAAAGATACATAAAAAGCTGTTAACTGTGGAGCAAGGACATGAAGAACTGGGATAGATATGAGACTTACTTTTCACATTCTGTAATTTATATTGTTTGAATTTTTTACTATGTGCATAGCCTTTCTAATGAATTAAATAAACATAACACAATTAATAGACAGATGAGTTAACTAATTTTAGAATCATCATTCCTAACTATGGACAAAGAGTAACTGAGTACCTACTATATATGTCAGGCACTTGGCTTAAAGTTGTGGATATTAAGAAAGAAGAGTTTCTTTTTTTTTTTGAGACAGAGTCTCGCTTTGTTGCCCAGGCTAGAGTGAGTGCCATGGTGTCAGCCTAGCTCATA